CTTTAAGGCCCCCTGGACGCTTAACTATAAAGCTGTCAGCAACTTCCCTGAGACAATTTTCCAGTGTTTATTTACTTCAATATGAGTGGTAAGTATACAAACCAGTGCTTTGGAACGCTGCCATACTTTTGCATATACACTTAATACTTAATATTTACTTAATTATTTGACATTAGTTTACACATCTGTTAATAGTGAAAATAATCAATAAGTGGAATGTATGGGAGCCCAGAGAAATGCAGTATTGAATTAAAAACAGTTCTATAATAGCGGTAYGGAACTTCTCTTCTATATTCATATATTCATCGGTTTACTACATTAATAAGTTACGCTCTCGCACACTCATTTCTCCATTACATTTTATTATTACAATACAACCTTTCTCATGAATACAAAAGCAAGCACGGAGACACTTGTCGTTCAGTTTCAAAAATCTTCTGGTGGAATTAACACTTTCGAGGGAGTATAAATACACACCTTTTGATACTTGTAAGTAATAAAAGACTTAATAAAGGTTATAAACTAGCAGATACAGAATTTTTTTTCTTTTAATGTTAATGTATGTCTACACATACATATTTATTTTGTATGTATAAACGTATATCAAAGCATCCTTGTCGTGCCGTCACCATGACCACCGAAGCGCTGGGCGTTAAATTAAATAAGATAAAGTTAGATTTGTTTGCTGGAGCTCATCTGAAACCAGAGTTTCTTAAACTCAACCCACAACATACAATACCCACATTGGTGGATAACGGTTTCTCTATTTGGGAATCACGTGCTATAAATATCTATTTAGTCGAAAAATACGGTAAAAATGATTCGTTATATCCGAAATGCCCGAAGAAGCGCGCCCTCATCAACCAACGTCTGTTCTTTGACGCCGGCACATTGTACCAGGCGTTTTATGATGCCTATGTATTCAAATATGTGTTCAAAAAGCCTATAGATGCCGAAAAGATCAAGAAAATTGATACAGCTTTTGAGTTCTTGAACACTTTCTTGGAAGGGCATACTTATGCTGCCGGAGATACTTTGACTCTCGCTGATCTCTCCTTGTTGGCCACAGTGTCATCTTATGACGTCGCCAAATACGATTTCAGTAAATATGCCAATGTGGCCAGATGGTACGAGAATTTGAAGAAGACTGCACCAGGTTGGGAAGAAAACTGGGCGGGCTGTATAGAATATGGGAAATTACTGAACTGATATATTTACAATATGTAATGCAAATGAATATTGTTAACAACTATATATATATATATATACTTATATACCACATATAATATGAGAAAGAAGCTGATAAATGTAAGCGGAAACAGTTGATATTCGTAAATCAGTAATGCGGTCTCAAAACATTTATTGATCATCATTATAGTACCTTCTAAGAAAGTGTAGTGTTTTACTAAAATGACTGTGTTTTTTATTTCTCTTTCTATTGAATATTTGCTTTAATGTAAAAYATGGGACCATACTTCATGGGGCCAAAATCTTGAAATATTCAAATGTGATTCCAATTACACTGAAAATAATAAGAGCGAGTAGAATGGATTATGATTTGTTTCTGGATTAAGTAGTCCGCGTAATGGGGTTTTGCGTACAAAATACAGCTTGTAGAGGAACTGAAACCGTTTGACCTTCCCAAGCGACATCGCTTCGCACTATGTGCTCTTGAAAAATTCCAAAATCATCYGWTGTTTTCGACCCAAATTTTGTTTAACGACGAGGCACACTTCTGGGTTCAATGGGTATGGAAAAAATCAAAATTGCCTCATTTGGGACGAAGAGCAACCTGAAGAGATGCAAATGCTGTCATTTCCTCCACTGTGTGTTTCTGTGTTTTTTTTTTTTTATGGGGAGTAGGGAACCTCGAAATAGATCACCCTTTACATATACATATGCAAAMAAACATTTGCAATTTAAGCATATACATACATATGTATATATTGATAAGGGCATGTGATCCCATGAGGAAATGCATTTTTACTTACTACTTTAAATTAAAAGTAGTAAAAAGTAGATAAGGTGGGTGATGTGGCCACCAGCGTATGGTTGTACTTACCTTCAGCAATGTATCTCTGGGTATAGTGAATGATAATTTTAGAGCTTTATCGCTTTGAATACTGCTTATGACCTGCCTTCCGTTATTTATTATTTACCAGATCCAAACATGTAGTAAATATGGATGTTTTTAATCTTTTATTTGTTTTTTTGCCGTTCTCTTATACATTCCACTATCAGATGCACAGCTAATTATTTGGTTTATTAGAGTTCTCTCATATTTTCATTTATACCGGCAAGTCGTTATACATACATACATACATATATAAATAATAAATATATATGTACAAGAAATAAAATTTATGTGCAATAAATATAAGAAACAAAGTCGTATGCCTATTTTGAGTCACAACAAAAATATCGAGAAATCGGGAAGTGTGGARGAAATTATTTGTATAGCGTTTTGAGAAATTGAGGTGTTCAGAAAGGCACAATTCTATCTATAATAGTAATWTGTAACTTCGGTTCTGGAGAGCAGCTGATAGAATGAAAAACCAAAATACACTAGCTCCTTAAAGGGGCTATCAGGCTGACTGGAGATTAGGGAGAAAATATAAGTAATAGTATTTTGCTACAAACCATTCCACAAAATAACTTGCGTGCTTTGCATTTTTCAGGCAAAAAATAAAAAAAAATCTTTGCTTTGCTATTTCGGGCACAAGTAAAGTAAATTGTATGTTTCCAAATCTACCGGTTTTCGTTTACATTTGATGGGAAAATTAACATAATAAAGTAAATTTCTAAAACTCAGAGAGCACTCTTCTCAACATAAAACAAAATTTGGGTCTCGTTGAAATTSTAGTAACAGGCCTTCCTGCACGCAATGTATATACGAGTAGTACTCATATACTCTACAGTTATATGAGTTACGCTCACGCATACTCATTTCTCCATTATCTTTTATTATTATAATACTTTCTCATGTATGTAAAAGCAAGCATGAAGAYACTTGCCGTTTAGTTTTAAAAAAGTTCTGGTTGGATTAACACATTCGAGGGAGCTTATACACACCTTTCAATACTGGTTAGTAAAAGAAATTAAAAATATTTTATTTTACTACTCTGGAATGTATAATATGATAAGATTTTAAGRTCCAGTTTATAACCATAGATATTGGTTTCTTTTAACATATTATATCTATGTACATATGTATATACATACATATACCTAMTCATACATAGTATATCTCAAAAGCCCATATTTTTACTTTTCAGACGCAAAATGGACTTCTACTATCTTCCTTTATCGGCTCCCTGTCGTGCCGTCACCATGACCGCCGAAGCGCTCGGCGTTAAATTAAATAAGATAAAGTTAGATTTGTTTGCTGGAGCTCATCTGAAACCAGAGTTTCTTAAACTCAACCCACAACATACAATACCCACATTGGTGGATAACGGTTTCTCTATTTGGGAATCACCGAAATGCCCGAAGAAGCGCGCCCTCATCATCTGTTCTTTGACGCCGGTACATTATACCAGGTGTTCGTTAATGCCTATGTATTCAAATATTTGTTCAAACAGCCTATAGATGCCGAAAAGATCAAGAAAATTGATACAGCTTTTGAGTTCTTGAACACTTTCTTGGAAGGGCATACTTATGCTGCCGGAGATACTTTGACTCTCGCTGATCTCTCCTTGTTGGCCACAGTGTCATCTTATGACGTCGCCAAATACGATTTCTCTAAATATGCCAATGTGGCCAGATGGTATGAGAATTTGAAGAAGACTGCACCCGGTTGGGAAGAAAACTGGGCGGGCTGTATAGAATATGGGGAATTAATGAACTAAAATGTATGCTAAATAAATACATACATATTTAGACAAAGACATGTGAATGGAGAGCAGATAATATTCGTATATTAATAATGCGGTCTCAAACCATTTATATATGTATGTATATGTCTGTGACTATGTTGTAATTAATATAAGAAAGTATAGTGTTTACTAAAATTACCGTGTTTTTTATTTCCCTCTCTATGGAAGTCAAATAKTTGTTTTAATCTAAAATAAGAGACCATACTTCAACAAGTCGAAGCCTTGGAATATTCAAATGTGAGAATGGATTATTATTTCATTCGAGATTAAATCATCCGCGCAATGGGTTTTTCTAATCGACTGATCAGTGTTTAAAACATCCTGAAGTTTTTATGTTAATACCAGATGTATTATAGGCTAAACTATCGGCGACGCCAACTTTAATTGCATCTGCAAAAACGCCAAATAAGTTCTTGTAGCGCGCAGTTCTGTAGCTTTAAAGGTTGGGATAAGTTAGTAAGAAACAAGGAAGGAAGCGGTAAGTTGAGGCGCAACCAAACATTTCATACTCTTGCAAATTGCTAGGATTAAARCCAGGAACGTACCTTTATGTATATGATGCTTGTTAGTTATATGGAGTCTAGTGTGAGTTTTCATCCGATTTTATTCGATTCAACTCATTTTGGACAAACAATATACTAGCCTCAGAAAAGGATTCCCTTCAAACATTGACAAATATTTACGGTAAAAAATCAACTATAAGCACTGGGTCCACATATTGAGTCCCCAGGGGCTTGAACAGTTTTGGTTAGATTTGAACAATTTTTGGCCATATTTTGCCATATGGTACTCTAGGGGCCTTATTCGTGCAAAGTTTTAACTCATTATATTAATTGGTTCTCGATTTGTACACTCGTAAGGAATGAATCAGACGGAATTTGAAATTGTGATACATTGGAAGTAAGGGTTGCTGTGGCCAGTCTCGCTCATTTTCACTCTGTAATACAGAAACCTCAGAGGAATGCCACATACCAAATTATGTATCCACCTAAAAATGGGCGGTGCCGCGCCCGTCATCCAATTTTGATCTTGGCTCCATTAAATCCCAGCCAAATTTTCGGTTAATGGAGTGGCAGTGGTCCGAATAGCCACATCCTCGTAGTCGTATTTTTTTGCCAAGGAACACGCATTCGAATTTTCTCAAAATATCTCAATTTTTACTCAAGTCACAGCTTGCATGGACGGATGGACGGACAGACAGACAGTCGGATTTTAACTTGTTTCGATCCTGATTATTTATACATACATACATATGTATTTATATAACCCAATATCTATCATGCAACCGTTAGATTAACAAAACAATTATACTATGYAGTAATATGTTGAAAGGGTATACAAATGTTTGCGAAAATAACAATTAAAATAGGTGAAAAAATAGTTGAATTACAAGTTGATTAAACAAATGAATATATGTATATACATATTTACATATTTAACTTTACTCGTATATATGTACATATGTATCTGTGTTTGCAAAATTGAAGTATTCAGCGTTTCCTAAATAACACTCAGCGCTTCCCAAATATTACTCGTTGCGAGAACTAACATKTACATATAAGTAGCAAGCTTTTCTACAACAATGCTCTTAATTCAGCGGTTCTCAAATAAAGCTTTTTCTGATCACAAGCATTGAATATACATATCTACTTCTAAATAGATGTTTGTAAATATAATATATAGAGGCAATTTTTGTAAAATCAGCGTGACTGGCATTTCTTGCCATAGACTCATATATGTACATATTTACATGTCAGTGTGMACATATCAATATACTTAGCAATATGTGTAAATAAAAGCAGAAAGAGCATCATTGGCATAACTCATGTGTTGAATACAATGCTCGCGACAGACTGCAAACGACATCTGTCAAATATTAAAATACACACRTTCTTWTGGACGGACCTATTTTGATAGCTGCACRACTACACGACGGCAGGCCGACAGTTGTCGCTCTCGCTAACTTCAATTTTATCCTATATTTGCCAACGACAGTAGGACGACAATAGAGTTGACAGTAGAATGGAAGATAAAGAGATGAGGTAGAGTGGTGATGCCACTAATATGTAAAATGTAAAACTATTCACAGCTCTAACAAACTTGACGTTATTTTACAAATAAAAGCATAAAATAGCTCTGCTACATCATTTGTAATAACAATTGATAATTTAAAGCAAAAATATG